AACCAGCAGAAGTAGAATGCAGAGGAAAGCTCTCATGGTAATTGTTTATATGCTAAGTGTAATCAGGATCGTGAAAGTAAGGAGGAGAAGGAGAATTCTGGAAGGCAAAGTTCCAGGTCAAAGCCTAAAGGCAAGAAGATTCGTTGCTTTAAGTGCAAGGAACAGGGACATATGAAGAGAGATTGTCCAATGCTCAAGAAGAAGACTCGTGATGTATCTTCCAGGTCTGTGAATATGGTGCAGAGTGATATTACAGATTACAGTGATGGTGATGCGCTTTCAGTTACAACAACTCAGTTAAAGGATGGATGGATTCTTGATTCAGGATGTTCTTATCACATGACACCTAACAGGGAGTGGTTCACTTCATACAGGTTATCTGATTCTGGTTCAGTCTATTTGGGTGATAATAGAAGTTACAATATTGCTGGTATTGGTAAAGTCAGAATTAAGATGTATGATGATACTGCTATAACATTATGTGATGTCAGACATGTTCCAGAGTTGAAGAAGAATTTGATTTCCTTGGGCACTCTACACAGAAATGGTTTCATTCCTAAGGCAGATGAGGATAGGGAAACCATCAGAATTGTTAAGGGTGCACTGACTGTGATGAAAGGGAAGATCACTGTAGGTAACATCTATAAACTGATAGGGAGTACAGTTGTAGGTGGAGATCGCTTTGTTAAATCATATGGTGAAAATGCAATAGGAACTTTGACCAAGCCAGGTTAGGTGGTTTGGTTGCCCAACCCACTTTGTTATAAAGAGACTCCATGAGATTTTTCTCCTAAGGGGCAGGATATTCACAAGGTGGAGATTTTTTCTCCTAAAGGATTGGATATTCGCAAGGTGGAGATTTTCTTCTAAAAGGGCTGAATATTCACTAAAGTGGAGATTTGTTTGGTAGGCGCATATACCGGGTGATGCATATCTCCTAAGGTGTTAGATATTGAGAATTGTTAGGTATGGATAGGTATGGATCATATCTAGGGAGTTGGAGTTTCTTGGTGAAGAGGTGTGTCTCCTGGTGAAAAGGAGTGTCTCTTGGAATAAAGGAGGTTGGGGGGAGCGAGGGCGTGATTTTAATTTTATCTGAGGGTTTGTATATGTCTATATATATGTGTAACCCTATGGGATGTGTAGTAACCTCTCTAAAATAGTGAAACCGTCGCTCGCTCCCGGGGACGTAGGCAATTCTTTGTCGAACCTCGTTAAATCTCTGTGTTCTTCTTCTGATTTGTGTCGATTCCTGTTTTATTCCGCTAAATTTCACAACACAATAAGCAAAAATGAGCTCTATTGGAGATGCATCTAGAGGTGGTGAAGCTTCAGCAAACTCAAACATATAAGAAATAAACTATTATGAAATCACGTCACTAAGCTAGGAAAATCATTTGAAGGTGGAGAAAGTATTACATTTAAGTGCAACTACTGTGGTATCAATTATTAAGGATTATATTCAAGAGTAAAGGCCCACTTACTTAAGATTGATGGTCATGCAATTAAAGTTTACCCCAAAGTAAGTTCCTTATTAATATGTGAAATGTAAAAATAAGTTGATGAAGCCGGGTTAAGGATTAAAAAAACTCTTCCAAAAGAGATACTACTACCAAGTTTTCATGGGTCATGTTATTCTAATTCTTCAATTTAAATTCATAATGCTACTGTCAATGTCGATTAACTTGAAATGAAAGGATACGAGGCTAAAAATAGAAAAGTTATTAGAGATAGTAGTTTGGAAAACCATTTGATTTACATATACAACAATAACTAGATGGTGAAATTACAATGATATTTTTTTCAACTAGCCTCCAATTTAACCTTAGAAGAAATCCACATTCTAAGAATGCTTTTATTTTTGCATGTAATAATAACCTTGTAAGATATATTCCATCAGGGTACAATGTTATTAGATCAAAGCTATTGTAGATAAAAAGATTTAATATTTAGAAATTGTTGTAACCAACAAAAGGTATGTAGAAATAGAAATGAATTATTGTAGTATGTGATGACTAGACTGACCCACAAAGACAACTTATTAATTTTATGATAGTATTAAAAAGTTCTCAAATATTTATCAAAGGTGTAAGAAGATAAATTCTTCATTTCCAATTTGATTACAAAAGTACTAGTGATGGTTCGTTCCTCAAATATTGTTGGAGTAATTAATGATAATGCTCCAATTTGTAGGGTGGCTAATTTTATGGTTAAGCAAATATATCCTCTTATCTTTTGGACACATTGCATTGTCCATACCTTTAATCTTACTCTAAAGAACATATGTGCTGTGAAACATACTGAAGCAAACGACACCGCATACAATGAATGTAATTGGATCATAGTGGTTGTTGGAGATGCTATTTTGGTAAAAAAAATTTATCATGAATTATTTTCATGAGGCTTTCGAAATTTAATGATTTCTCCAATCTGAAAAAGTTTGTTGTTACTGAAAATATATACTTCAGCAATTGTAATGTTAAGAAGATTCAAACAAATTAAAAATACACTTTAAGCAATGGTGATTATTGAAAGATAGTCAAGTTATCGTGAGAAGGATAAGGGGAAGACAATATATGTGAAGGAGAAAATACCTGATAATTTTTTTGGGATAAAGTTGAGTATATTCTATCTTTTATAGATATTATTTATCCCACGCTTCGAGCTGCAGATATAGATAAGCCATGCTTACACTTGATTTATGAGATGTGAGATACAATATTTTGTAAAATGAAGAAGAAATATACAAATATAAAAGAAAGATAAATGATAAAAACTCAAATTTTTTGAGTGTTGTATGTATAATTTTGGAAGATAAATGGAGCAAAACTAACGCACCCCTGCATTGCTTAACTCATTCTTTAAATCCAAGGTAAATTTTATGATTTTGCTTTCTAGTTTACTTTTTTTTCATTAAGTTAGAATCACATAAATCTAATTTTTTTTTTTTTACATTTTTGGAGGATATTCAAGGGATGGCTCGAGGAGAATCCTAAACAAGTTCCCCCTCAAAGAGATTTGGAAATTTAAATTATAATAAAAATTTGTTTGAAGCGTCATTTTCCAAATAATTATGAGAGAACTGCAAATAAATGCAGAGTAAGCTAAGTTTTTTTGAATATTTAGATGAATTTGGAGATCAAGAGTCTTTACGTGATAGGTGGAAGATGAATATGAGATGTGGTTGATTCATGCAGCTGCAACACCTTCACTTCAAATTATTGTCATAAAGCTTTTTGGACTAGTTTCCTCCTTGTTTTCTGAGAGAAATTGGAGTACTTATTTATTCACACAAGCAATGAAGATGAATAAAATAAATCTACAACAAACTGAAGATTTAGTTTATGGGCATACTAATCTTCGTTTGTTATCAACAAAGACTCCAAATTACATGAAAAATGATAACAATATGTGGGATGTTGCAGGAGATGAATTTGAGACCCTCGACGAAATGAAAATTTTGGAGATTGCAAACCTTTCTCTTGATGAGTCAGAGTTGGAATCTATGATATTTAATGATGATGATAGCAGATGTGAATTGTTAAGTAGAAGTATATGACAAAGATGTTGTCCATTCTTTTATTATATTTAATGAATTAGCGTAGCTAAATTTGACGTAATGTGAGATAATATATGTTCTTTAGTTTGCATTTTGTATGTCATAAACTAAACATATATCTATGGCCATATTAGTTTTTGAAAGTTAATATTATTAACCCTTCTCTTTTATTTTTTTAATATATACATATATTTTAATAACTTTTATTATAACAGTGGGTCTAACACGTATCCGTGTCATATATTTTAAATAATAGACATGTCTTATGTCGTGTCATGTTCGTGTCTCTGTATCGTATTTGTGTCCCCGTGTCCGTGCAACATAGATCCTATACTATGTGAAAATAAGATAGTACATCCAACACTATATAATAAGATAAAAAGAAAATATTTTCTTTAAAATTTATAGTACTTGATGTTTCTTAATTGTTAATTTTCAGCTTTTTTTTTATTATTGAATAGGGAAAAGAAAGATAATGAGGTAGAAGAAGAGGAAAAAGAAGGGAACAACTCAACTAACAAAGAGGAAGGGGAGAAAGCTATATGTTATGATAATGATTACAATGAAGGCCACTTAAGTGACAAAAGTATTGAAGACTTTTGTTTATTTTTTTTATCTTCTTATTTACAACTATGGAAGTTACTATGTTAGAGAATAGGAATGAAAAATCTTCTATGCTAAATTTATCTTGTCTTTGATATTTGTGTAATTTAATATTTTTTGCCGTGTTATGACTTTAGTATGTCATCATTTCATATATTTATAAATTAAGACGCCCATATTTTCCTATGTATTTATTTTGTCTATTCAATTTTCAAATTGTGAGACTTACGACTCAACTTCAAAGTTTTTGTCCACCTCATGAATGAAAAAAGGCTCAATGCCTAATTATGCAATTTTAAATATTAGTTGTAACATTACATTTTTATGGTTGTTTAGAACTAGTCATTGCTTTTGTTGCTTTATGCATTTGCTTGCTCACCATTATCTAAACAGAACATCTCTGATTCTGGAACATTACTACTCCTTTATGGCCTTACCTGCTTAGACCGATTTACCGGTTTGTTGCTTTGTTGCAGTTCTCCATCACTAAATAGATACTTCTTGATCTTCATTTTAGTTGAGCAGGCAAGCAAACAAGTTTGGAGGCTTGTTCAATTTTGATTTGGGAATTGTTTGTGTTGACATTTCATATGGTTTATTTCTTAGCTCATTTTTTTGTTTCTACTCCTTTTATAAATAATTTCTCCTGTAGTGCACAGGTTTTGTGTTTGAACTTCACCAGTTATAATTAGTTGTTATAGTTAAGGAAGGAATTGGTTAGGCGTGGCCATCATTTAAAGCCAAATCCCACATTAGTTTCCAGTTGTAAAGTTCCAGGACAATTCAAGCAAACATTACACTTATGCCAAAAATATAACTAAAAAAACGATGGGGATAAAGCGAGACGATGAAAAGCGTAGCAGATTTCTCTGGAGCAAAGAAAGAAATGTCATGCTAATTTCCATCAATCTTCAATTCACTTGACACAATTTTCTTCAACAAAAGAGCAAAAAATTATAACAGAATAAAGAACAAAATTATACCTCCTTACAGACAACTAAAAAAAGGTTGTTAGAATGTGTCATTGGCTAATAAAGCGAAGCCGGAGGCAATGTTTATAACACTTTCCAGCAACAACAGTGCAAGAAAATCTTCAAATCGCCCGTGCAGCCCTTGAAGTTATGCTTTCATCGTGATTTTCTTTTCCAGAAGCTGAAGGAAAGCTTATACAGAGCTGATAAATTGCAAAAAAAAAGACCCTCGATTTTATTAGATATAGATCCTGTGAAAATTCCTCTTCGTGAGCTTCTTCTGGCATACGGGACACATCTTCTGCTTTGAGATAGCAGTAGCAATGCAGCTAAGACAGAACAAATGTCCACAGATCGTCGATGACGGCACAATTAAGAATTCCAAACACACAGGGCATTTTATTTTTAGTCCCTTGGATGGAGCTGGAGCTGGAGCTGATTTCCAATCAAAAGGATTAGGCTTCAATCCCATGTTCATCTACCAACAGCAAAAATATCTGAGTTTCAGAACTAAAATGAAAACAATTTCATTGCGCCAGATTTTATAACGCTGATATTATAAATATTAAGTTTGCCGAACAATTTTATATCTCCATATCAATCAACATGAGATATTATAAGACCATTCATTGAAAATGTATGCCAAATAATATTAGTGATGAATTGGAGTTAAGTTTGACTTGCCAGAAGTGCTCATTGTAAATGAAAAAAAAAAAGAAAAAGAAAAACAAACCGTCTATTTTTTTATCGCCCACAACATCAAAATTTTAACGCCATTACAAGGAAAAAAGCAAGTGAAACACAAACAGGCACAAATTAGAACAGGAAAATCTGCAAACAATATTCTAACCAACACCTTTTCAGTCATCTTCACATGCAGCATACTTTATCATTAATATGTTAGTATCACATTGAGAATGTTCAGAAGCAACAAAAACACAGAATTTGGGTTGGTTATTCTCAAAATTCATGAAGTTTAAAAATGCAAAAAGATTGCTATGTATATATGTTAAAATTCAATGAATTTGTTTGGTTGGATTCAAAATTAAATGCATTGCAATTTTCTTTTCTAATTTATAAAATATTTCAGATGCATTAAAAGTTTGCAGCAAGTGGTCACGATGCAGGGATGAACTGTGGGCCTTGAATGGATGCAGTTGCAACCAATGAATCATGAACTATTACAACGCAAATTTTGAAAATCGCCAAATTTGGGTCACTTCTAGATAAGGGTTCAAATACGTCAAAACTAGATTTTGCATATTGTTTGCTTTAAACTAAATGCTGAGTTGGATTGCAAAAGGAAGGAATACAATGCGCTCCTAGCGCCTCCAACCAAACACTACAAATAATTTTGCATTTTTTTTTCAAAATTTTTTATTAGTTTTATTTTGGTTTATTATTATTATTATTATTATTATGATATAT